TACACAGAAACAAGCGAGTGCAAGTTACAATATCAACAGTTTGTTAAAGAATTCAAACACACACTGTTTATAAAAAGATCCCTATCATACACCCATGAATATGAAACGATCATAAAAGCTAGCGTAGGCCATAATAATTTAATTACATAGTCAATGTATGTTCAACATCCGTGGCGCCATCTCTTATTCTTTCGAGTAAAGTATTTTTTAGTCGAACAGCTGCTGTAAGGTGTTTTGAAAACAAGTTGTACCACTTGTTTATGCTTTAGTGTGATGTGATTTCAATAGATGGCGCTTATTTTCATTTATGTATTGTATTGAGAATTTAGAAATCGTTCTTGAATACTAAAAATACAATTCCAAAAAAGAAAAAAGAAGTTTCTGTATAGAAATTCATACTTAAAAACGAATAAGCATTTGATGTGACGTTTCTTAATAACGATTAGAGAATAACTAATAATTATGTGATTGTTTGATATTTATTTTATAAAATAATAATTAAATGGAAATCTATCTCATTTTCATCTAGTTTTGGTTGTGATTTGAATTGCGTTTTCATAAGAAAATAATATTTGTTCTGCGGATGTTGGTAGGCATCAATCTCCAATATGAATAAACCATTAATAAATAGGTACTTACGTACCTATACCCATACTGTATTTATACTGATAGCGTAAGTGCACTATAAATTCGACAATATTCGATTATAAAATCTCAATAAATAAATATTTATCAAAGTAAATAACATAAATATTTTTGATGTAACGCTATGTGCGTACAAGAAGTAGACAAATATGAAACAACTTAATTGAACACATCCTTATATCTTCGGGAGTCCTCTTGAAAATTGAGAAATAATGTGCCCTCTATTATAGTAAACGAAAATATATACCGTATCAAGGTAACCATTGAATTGAAGGATTCATGATTTTAAAGTGCTAAGCTTTTTCGTAGCAAAAGACTATGCTAACGGCTACGAAGTCTCTGCTACAGCCACTAGATGGCTCTATTTATATTTTATGCACATTAAGGTTCAGTATTAAATAAGAATTTCATTTCTCTTTATTTACATTTTATCATCACCATCGTCACTATTATCATCAGTCCGTTTTCATAGATCTCTTCAATAGCACTTTTTATTTAAAATAATTAAATTTGACATTGTAGAAGTAAGTTAGACGGAGTTATACGGAGCCGCGGAGGACTTAACGGGTTGCCGGGGCCCCGGCTCGAAGTGCAGGAGTAGGAACGGGTTAGTTATTAGTCAGTAAGAGTCTGATACTCCCTCCCGCCTTATCCGGGGCTTACTCTTGAATCCAATTCCGATCGATCGACAATGGTATTGTAAAATTTCATACTCTTGAGTTCAACACTAGCGCCCATTGGATCCGTATTGCGTGGATATTTAATGAACTAAATAGTATTGAGTTCAGCTTTATATTCCGTACTCTGAATGCTATTTTAACAGCTACGATAGGGGTTGTATAGTTTTGACATTGAATAATTATTGAGATTTTATTGGATTGAAATTGCATTGACATTGAGATTAGTTTCAATAGTAATTCACTCCGGTTGGGAGAAGATATTAGATGATTTCCTCCCTAAAAAAACCTATTTTCTGTAAGTTACCTATCTTCAATAATATATGTATTAATTATTAACTCAGGAATCTAACCCGAGACTATTTCTTTAGCCATGGCAATTGCAGCCATTCGACTAAGGGCCGTAGGTTAGTAATTTAATTACATTATTTTTAATCTGAGATACTCCTCGTACTTACAATAGAAGCTATTCTAAGAACTATGATTAATTCTTCTCTAATGTTCTTGATAAAGATCAGCATAATAATTTCAAGAATTGTCTCGAACTTTAGTCAGTGTTTGTTTGTTTTTTGTGAGACATACTAAATAAATTATTATGTTATCGACTTACTCAGTAGCAGCGCGACAGTCGCTTCGTCGCAGGCCGCGAAAAGCTGCTAATGAATATGAGCCTCTAGCATGGCTTGAAACTAGTCGAGTTCCTCGTCAAATATTTAGATACGTGAGTAAGCCGAAAACATAATAATATAATTTATTGTTTTCTATCAGTTTACCACCATGTACGGATACTGTTATCCTATGTAAAATATTTTTTGGGCTATGAAAGTCAAAGTCAAGAAATATTCATTGCTGGTGACCTGTCAGCCTTTTTAACCGACTTTAATAAAAGTAGGAAGTTCTCAGTTCGACTTGTTTGTATGTATGTTTGTGCGCGATTATCCCGCGATTGAAGGAACTAATTTTGATGCGGTTTTCAGAAAAGCGTTTTGTTAATTTTTTTTTTGGTTAGTGGGGAAAATCATCGATTCACTGCTCCCGCCTGGGTGAGGCGGGAGGGAGTGTCAGACTCTTACTGACTAAAAACCACCCCGTTCCTTCTCCTGCACGTCGAGCCGGAGCCCCGGTAACCCGTTAGGTTCTCCGCGACTCCGAATCGGCATCTGCCCTGTTGGGCCTTATCTGTGGTGGTCTGATGGCTCTTTGAGGCGCGCGCGGAACGCGACGCGCCGTACGCTCGGGTCTGTTTCTGGTCGGACGGGGAGCCACCCATGCTCGCCGTCCGCAGGCCCACGGTGGCCGGAGATCGTCGTTTATTACACTTAGGAGAAGGTTTTAGTATATTAATTGACCTACTTCAAAAAAGTGAGAGTTGAAGTCGGTTTTTTTAAACGTAGTATAAAAAAGAATAATTATTCTAGTTTCATATTGCCTGTAAGTATGATGTAAGGAGGGTAAGGTAGAGACAGCGCATCGCACCAATAACAACACCAATATTTAAATTTCTATTTATTGATTCAATTTGAACTTCGAACTCACAATAAAATGCAGCACAGTAAACACAAAAATCATCAAACCATTTATTATTATGTAGAATACTTATTAAAATACGTGAAACAGTGATTGGAAAAGGTACAGAAACCAGGTTTTAGGTACTACTAACATCGAATATTGTTGACGAACGACAATAAATTTAGATCGATCGAAAGTAGACATCCTATACCGACGAGAAACAGCTGATTTTGAGCAAAAAGTTTTGTTAAAAAAATAAGTGGTCGGCTCGTTACCATCATATTAAAAATACATAGCGGTTACTTGATGCGGGATTAAACTTACGTTATACACAGTGAGTAACTTACGTAAATGCCATACGATAAGCACGGGCGGGCGCCTACTCGCACCTCTTTCGCTGCGAGACGTCCAACACCACCATCACGTCTACACATCGAGCCATGTTGTTAACAACAACGCCATCTATACTCAATCCACGCAAACTGCCATGCGCAGCGAAATAGGAGCAACAGAGCGCCGTGGCGCATCTGATATGACTTCATTTGTAGTAACGCCACTACGCCCGTAAACAAATAGAAATAGTGTATATAAATTAGCTTATGTAACAAATAAGCTTAAATGTATATAATACTGAGGCAGAATTACATCTTAACTACGACGTAACATTAAGTGTGGTACGTGGGATTAGACACGAGCGCAAGCCCTTACTTTATACGGACGAATGCGATATATAATTATATTTTGCTTTATATCTATGTATCTGACGCTAAAACATCTATATAATGTATTACTTTTTGTACATCTACTTATATATTAACCGTACATACACTCACTAAGCTTACTTGCCTCGCGACCGCGTACCCAAGGTGCGTACACAACCGTTTGTCGAAACAATGCCCAATGTAGATAGATGTCGCCTTGACTAGATACAAACGTCGCCACGACGCGAGTGCTGCAGGCGCAGTACTCACTCGTGGCTCGTACTCATGTACTCGTACTCTAATTACAAAACGCACGTTGAGTACACGGCGACCTCTCACGTCGGGAACTTGGTATTGTCCCGCGGGTGAACACGAAGGATACGTAGCGACCACCACGATACAGAGACCCACTAACTCATCAGAAGGAATGTTGCAGAGTAATCAAAGACAGAATCGTTCACCCGCGCCGGCTATGCCGCCCGTCCCATCGCTAAGTACACATTAATTATTAAAATATATTTTCGCATTTATTACATAAAATTCACGTTATGTTCTACCTACGTTAGAAAAGTAAATGAAAGCGGGCGTTAAGTGTAAGTAATTTAGGTTCAAATTTGTACGCGGAGCCTATATACACAGCGTACCATGGACGTTTGTTCCACTCACCCCAGTAGTAACATTCAACGAACCGAACAGGGAAACTATAGCTAAACGATAGACAGACTAAAACTGAGATCATTCGAGTAACGACTAACAAAACGCACCACGGGACCAAGGGGCCGTCGGACGTCACCACTGCGGGAGCGGCTTCAAAAACTTAATTTAAAAACTCGACTACAGTGACACTTATGAATTCTAGGACACTAGACAAAAAAACTTAGATCTAAGTCCTTAAAATAATAATAAATATTTTGGTGCAAAATAAATAACAAAACATAAACCGTTATCACTTCTAACCTTAACATATGACTGACCGCGTTACCGCAAACGAATATTCCCACTAATCACACAAGCTTTAATGAATGTTCATAACAAAGGACCTCCCCGCCGGGAGTGCGGCCTCGCCGGACAATATATAAGTTTCACACACATTCATTCCATAAAGAATTACGCTGAGGACAATAGATAAAGGTGTAGGGTAGAAAAACACCCTGTCTCTAGGGGCATCTAGCACACATCACAAGAATTTGGAAGTCTGTCTACGTGCTGTGGGACTTCACCGGCGTCTGATGCTGTTCGGTACTAGTTTGATGATTTTGTGATGAGATTCGAGGTTCAGGACGCTGATGAACTAACAGAGGACGTAGACGAAAGAATTGGCCGAAAGGACACCACAACAATTTATAACACTCCTGTCCGCAGTAGACTTGATGATACATGGAGTCAAGTCACTTGGCCGGACGTGACGAGCCGCGCACTCCTAGCGAGGGTGGGGGGGGAGGGAAGGGAGGGATGGAAGTGTGGGAATCTACTCTTTGACCTCGAAGTACTTGTAGGTCGGGTTCTCGTAGCCATTGATCTGCATGTTGGCTACGTGTCGCTCTTCGGGGGTCGGGGCGACGGCTCCGGTCTGCTCCACCTGGGAAATGGGAAAATCCGTTAGTCAATACAAATTTTAAATTTAGGTAGAAAATATCAACATCGTCAACAGCCCATTAGAGTCCACTGCTCATAGGACTCCTTTATAAAAGAGAGGTTTACGATAATCTCCACCTTTGGCAAACGGGTTGGAGATCACAGAGAACGCTTCAGCTCGGTCACTGTAAAATACGCAGTCCCTTGGGCCTTAGTCGACCTTACAATACCACTGGCGGAAAGAGTACGAGTGGTAACTAGTTTACTCTATCTATATTATCTTATATCTTATACTATTATATAAAGCGGAAGAGTTTGTTTTTTTTTGGTTGTTTGAACGCGCTAATCTCGGTGACTACAAGTCTGATTTGAATAATTCTTTTTGTGTTAGATAGCGCATTTATCGAGGATGGCTATAGGCTATAAAACATCACGGTACGACCAATAAGAGCTGAGCAGAGCGTGTGTTACCGCGCGGAAGTAGTTAGTCTATTTATATGTATTTTCCAAGGTTCATGTGTAATATGTCACCTGCACGAATCCCTGCGCGGGCGGCGCGCGGTCGCGGCGGCGCGCGACGGCGAGCGCGACGCAGGCGGCGGCCGCCAGCGCCGCGCCGCCCACGCACAGCGCCGGGTACAGCGCGCTCGCAGACCCGCCGCCGCCAGACATACCCGCGCCACGGACGGTGTAGCCCTGCGGTACATGGTGAAGGTACATCGTTATTCCGAGAGGAGAGTGCTTTGTGGTGGATAAGGACCCTTAAGCTTTTTGACTATGCCAGAATTTAAAGTTGAAAAAAATAATTTTTGGCTAAAGCAGTTTAGCCCCGTCATAAAATATTGGTTTTTTAAGGAATTCTTTAGAAGGTTTTTTAAATTCCTACATCAAACAAAAGGACCAAAACGTGTTTTGTTCCATACCAATTCTGAGGAGTTCATGTACTTCTATGGGCATCCAAAACATCCTTATTACTCCCGCTGGTTTCTGGTCAGTGCCTTTCGCCAAACGCCACTTTAGCGCTTGTCTACCGAGAGAGTAGAAATCAAAATGTATGGGGATGACACTGGCAAGTGTCAAAATTTACGTCAATTCCATACAATTTGGTTTTCTATTCTACATGTAGACAAGCGCTAAATGGCATTTGCTTACAGCTGCAGGTTAGCATGAAAACTGACCAGAAACGAGCAGCCAGCCCTCCTTTAAAATAATACTTAGGGTACAACTATTACACTGTTTTTTTTTTTTTTTTTTTTTTTAAGGGGGAAAATCATCGAATGACTGCTCCCGCCTGGGTGAGGCGGAAGGGAGTGTCAGACTCTTACTGACTAAAAACCACCCCGTTCCTTCTCCTGCACGTCGAGCCGGAGCCCCGGTTACCCGTTAGGTTCTCCGCGACTCCGAATCGGCATCGGCCCTATTGGGCCCCATCTGTGGTGGTCTGATGGCTCTTTGAGGCGCGCGCGGAACGCGACGCGCCGTACGCTCGGGTCTGTTTCTGGTCGGACGGGGAGCCACCCATGCTCGCCGTCCGCAGGCCCGCGCTCACGGTGGCCGGAGATCGTCCCGCGATCCCCGACGCCCGGTGTGTCCTTCGCGATGGCTGGGTCGCGAGGAGGCAGCGCTTCGCTGCCTCACGCGTCCCGCCTCCTCCTTAGCTAGCATGACTGCTTCGCAAAAGGAGGAGACGGCATCCCAGTCCCCCTCGCTCCGCATCATGGCCTGCACTAGGCCCGGACGCGAGAGGTCGCCATCGCCGATCACTTCCCTGAGGGCACGGCGGTGCTCAGCCCACGCAGGGCATTCCGCTACGGTGTGTTCCACCGTGTCCTCAGGGCGGTCCTCGCAGTGATGACACCCGGGCGTTTCCTCCCGCCCCATCAGACACAGGTACCTCCCGAAACTTCCATGTCCGGTGAGGACCTGCGTCAGGCGGTAGGTGAGGACGCCGTAGCGTCTCTCAAGCCACTCCTCAAAGAGGGGACTTACCGCTGCAATGGCAGCGAGCCCAGCCCTCGGTTGCGACAGTCGTTGCTGCCATTCCGCCATGAGATCGCGCCGGAGCTCATCCCGCCACGCACTTATCTGGCGCGGCAGCGGAGTTTCGCCCCGGCGACGTGCCTCCGCGCGCATGTTATACACGCGCGCGAGCACCTTCGCCTCCAGATCCCACGGCGGTAATCCGGCAAGGAGGTTCGCCGACTCCCCAGCGATCGTGCGGTATCCGCGGATCATTCGGATCGCCATGACCCTCTGTGACTTGAGCAGCGTCCGAGCAGGACGCCGCAACAAGTTCGGCGCCCAAACAGGGGCGCCGTAGAGGGCCATGGACCGCACGACCCCGGCGTATAACCTCCGGCAGGAGGCGTTTGGCCCCCCGAGGTTGGGGAGGATGCGTTTGAACGCAGCCCCCGTCCTCTCCAACTTTGGAGCCAAACGTCGGAAATGCTCTATGAAGTTCCACCGACTGTCGAGGACGAGTCCTAGGTACTTCATCGCCGTCTCGACGCCGATGGTAACCCCTCCCGCCGTTATTTGGGACCCACCCGGAGGTGGCGCGTTCCCGCGGCCATGAAAACACATGGCCTCGGACTTGTGGAGCGCCACCTCGAGTCCCAACTGCCGGATTCTTTCAACGACTGTCGCAACCGCTGTCGCCATTAAGTCGGCCCGCCGCCTGGTGCGACCTCCCGTGCGCTAGCACCAGCGTGTCGTCGGCGTAGCATATTGTGCTAACGCCGTTCGGGAGGTCGGTGCGCAGCACCCAGTCATAGCCGATGTTCCACAGGAGCGGCCCCAGAACCGAACCCTGTGGAACACCGCGTGACATCTCTCGCCGGTTCCACTCGCCCCGGTGACCGGGGTAGCTGACGGACCTGTCCGTCAGGTAAGCCTCGATTACACGACGGAGGTAGGTAGGCACCCGATGATATCGGAGTGCCTCCAAGATGCAGCTCCAGGGCAGGGAGTTGAAGGCGTTGGCGATGTCCAGAGACACCGCCACTACGACCTTACCCCTGGACACTGCAGTCCCCGTCGTGAGGTCTCTAACGCGCATGATGGCGTCCACCGTGGAGCGCCCTCTGCGGAAGCCGAACTGGCCGTCCGACAAGTCCGGCCCAATGTCCGTCAGGTGCGCGACGAGGCGGTTCGAAATGATTCTTTCGAAGACTTTCCCCACCTCGTCGAGCAGCACTATGGGCCGGTACGCGGACGGAGAGTCCGCAGGGCGCCCCGTCTTCCGCACGAGGACCAGTTTGCCCGCTTTCCAGAGAAGCGGGAACTGGCCTCTCTCCAGACATGCGCTGTAGAGACCAATCAATCGAGGCCCGAGAGCCTCTGAGGCCAGGACCCATGCCTTGCCATGCAGGCCGTCGGGTCCTGGGGCGGTGTTCTTGGCGCCCATCCGGCGCACCGCCGCTCTCAATTCTGCCTCGGTCACCTCTGGGACGATGTCATCGTCGTCGTCGCTGTAGCCCGCGTCGGGCACCGCAGGGGGCGGAGTCATATACGGAGGGGTGAAGCCCCTCCACAGTCGGGGGAACAGGGCGCCAATCACCTCCTCCAAGACTTCTGGCCGGAGACTCTGAGTGAGCGGGGGAGCCCAAGCACGGAGCTTGTCGCGTACCATTAGGTACGGGCGTCCCCACGGGTCTCTATTCAGAGTCCCCAGCATCTCTCGGCGGGCCTCCTCCTTGGCCCGCAATATCTCCGCCTTGAGGAGGGCCTTCGCCGCCCTGTATCCTCGTATAACTCCGCCTCTCTCGCCTCCGCATTAGGAGGACGGATACGGCGCCTGCGGTGCCTAGTGTACTGGCGTCGCGCAGTAGTGCACGCCTTGCGCAGAGCCGCCAGCTCTTGCGACCACCAGTACACCTGGCGCTTCTGTTGCCTCGACCGGATCCGGGGCATCGCCACGTCACAGATCCTGGACATGGCGTCCTGGAGCCACTTGGCCTCATCGTCAACGTCGGCAGGCCTGACCGGTGGTATCACCCAGGCCTGCACGATGGCGGCTTCCAGGAGCAGCTCCCGGTCCAGCTGTTTCAGCGCCCAACGCGGGCCACATGGGGCCTGTCTGACCGGCGGGTCTGCGGACTCGGCGGAGACGTCGAACCGGATATACCGGTGGTCGGAGTACGTCTCCACCTCCTCCATGACGCGCCAGCCAACAATACGCGGTGACAGAGCAGGGCTGGCGAACGAATGTCCACCACCGACTCGCCCTGCATCCGCACACACGTGGGGACAGAACCCCGGTTCAGGACGACTAGGCCTGTCTCAAGGGCCCAGTCTTCCACCATCCTACCCCGGACGTCGGTGAACCGGGAACCCCAAGCCAAGTTTTTGGCGTTGAAGTCCCCGAGGACGAGCACGGGGAGGGAACGGAACCCGACGACGACAGTGACCAACTCCCTCAAGGAGTTGTGGAACTCGGCGAGAGTTCGGTTCGGAGAGAAGTACACGCCCACCACAGCGAGCTCTCCGAACCGTGCTGCGACACAACCCCGGCCTCTTTGAGCAGCCTCAAGAGTCGGGGTACCGGCGGCGGCCGACGAGATGATGGTCACCGAGCCGTCCAGGTCCGCCACCCAGTGATCCCTGGGCAGGACAAAGTACGGCTCGGAGACCACGGCGACATTGATCGACCACTGCGCCATGCTCTGGAGCAGGAGATCCTGAGCAGCGGCGCAGCGGTTGATGTTCGCCTGGAGGAGGCGGAATGGGGCCATTATTGGCAGTCCATTCCGATCTCCTCAGTGGCGGCAGCGGCGACTGCGGTGGCAGTGGCGGCGGCGGCGGCGGAAACGGCAGGGGCGGCGGAGGGCCTGCCTTTGCCCTTGGGTTTGGCGGGAGGGGAGCAGCCTTTGCTCCCGACCCGGTGATTGGCCGGCTTGCCAGCCGCCGCACATGCATTGCAGTGCAGCGGGGCGGAGCACGAGCCGGCCTTGTGACCGGGCCGACCGCAGCGGAAGCAACAGTCGCTGCGGTCCACCTCCGAGGTGCATTTGACACTCACGTGCTCCCCCACGTGACAGCGGTAGCACCTCAGAGGCCGGGTCTCGAGCAGCTTGACCTGCGCCGAGACCCATCCCACCAAGAGCCTTTTGCCCTCCTTCAGCTTCTTGGCCGCTGTGACGGGGCAGCTGACCACACAGTGCGCAGCCCCGAGTTGTCCGGGCGGATGGCGCCTGCCTTAACTTGGTCAGCAGGGCACCCTCCCGTCCTGGCCACAGCGGCCACCACCTCACTCTCCGTTACGGAGTCGTCCAGGCCCAAGATCCTGACATCCAGGCATTTGGTTGGCCTGGACACGCGGGCCTCGTCCGCACCGAGGCACGCCCTAAGCCTCTCGGCCAGGGCGTCGGCCGATGGGCCGCTGGTCGCGCCGGGGACCTCCAAAAGACGGGCTCCGGTAGCGGTCACCTTGACCGCGAACCCGTCTGGCGCCCCGAACTCCGCAGGAGATACCGCCCCCTTCAATTTGGCGAGGACGTCGCCGTAAGTGACGCCCCTATTGACCGCCTCGGGCTGCAGCGTAATCACTACAGCCGCGGTCTTAGGGGCGAGGAGCAAGGCAGCAGCGCGTTTCTCCCTGCGCTGCTGCTGCCGTCGCTGCCGCTGCGCCTTTTGCGGCGCTTCCGGCCCTCCTGGCGACTCTCCTCGCCTCGCCGGCGATTTGCCACCCGCCGCCGTCCTCCGCTCGCGGGGCGGGTTCCACCACCGCTGCCGCAACTCCAGCCTGCCGGGCTGGAGCGCCTCTCCTCTCCTTGCGCCCTGCGGGCGCTGGCGCCGTCGGCGCAGCTGGGGTCTGCGCCGGCGGGGGCGCCGAGGCCCTCGCTGGGGCAGCCGGTCGCGCCCTTGCCGGCGGTTGGGAGCTGCGGCTAGCCTGACCCGAGGTCGAAGGCTTGGCCGCAGCGGCCGCGTACGACCGCGGGACCGCGGGGGCGACCTGACTCGCCGCGAGTGGGGGGCGCAAGAGCCTGCCCTCCAGCACGTCGAAACGTCGCTGGAAGGCAGCCAACTCCGCCCGCAGCAGTCCGACTACGTCGGCCTCCGCCGGGGGCTGGGGGCGACTGCCGCGAGCAGCGGCGAGCTCGGCCCTGGCCGTCCGCAGCTCGGCCTCCAGAGCCGCATTGGAGGCCGCCAAGCGCGCCAGCTCTCGCCGCATCTCGGCCAGCTCGGAGCGCACCTTTCCCGCAGTGGGCACCGCACACTGCTCCAAGGCCGCCTCCGTTATTGTGGCCGCCGCCGCCCTGAGGAGGCGGAGCCTAACCGGCTGGGATTTCCCCATCGCCAGCTTGTAGAGCTCCGCCGTAATGGCCTGTTGGAGGCCCCCGGAGCAGCTCTCGCTCTCAGAGCCGCGCTCGCCCTCCGACATCTCCACGCCGGACATCTCGGCCGCAGAGGACTCCGAGCGGGCAGTGCACGAAAGCCCTGCCCTCCGCGGCCAGCTGCTCGGCTGACTCCGCGCAGGCAGCTGGTGCCGGTTTCCGGCGACCGCTGCCCTTGCCGCCCCTACCCCGCGCTGCCGTGGGGACCTTGGGGGGAGGCGCCTCCTGAGCGCCGGAGGACGGGGACAAACTGTCCTCCTCCAGCCTGGGGGCGTTTGAACGTCCCCGTCGCGCGGCGGCGTGAGCCTTTCGAGCTCACGCTCAGCCGCTCCGCCAATGTTGTGTCGGACTCTGAGTCCGACCCCCTTCGACTAGACTCCCGTGTGTGGGGCCTGCTGGACGAGTCCAGCGCCTCACCACGAGTCCCGGAGCCACTTGGGCTCCCTTCTCCTCTACTGCAGGCGAGCCAAGCTCACCCGCACTCTCCTCCTCCGGTTGTGGTTTTGATTTTGATTTATTCTCCATAAATTCCCACGAGTATGGGGGAAATATTCGGTCCACCCAGGCAGTGCCCCCTGTACCTGGGTAAGTGTTCATTTGTTTCCCAACTAGAGGTTCCACTGGTCCCCTAGCTGGGGGTGCGCTCGCGACTGACACTACTCCTCAGCCATGCATACTCTCGCCGCGCACCAGAACTTAGTATTAGAGGAATTTTTTATAGAGGTTATCTTCCTCGCGGTCCGGGCGACCAAGCCAAGACCCTCGTCCCGTTCAGAGTCACAAAACATGACCGTGATCTCCTTACGGATTACGATATCGACGGCTGCAATCGGGGACAGCTTGTGTCCCGATGCTGCTCGCTGGCAGGGTGAGTGCACAACGAGCACCGCCTTTGCCTCTCCGCCACGCTCTCTGCTATGTCCAGAGAGACGGGCGGAGAAACGCCCCTCGGAAGCGCGGGCTATGAGCCTCCGCACACAGCCCGCCGCCTCCAGAACCCTATCGGGTTCGCCCGCCCAGTCCAGAAGTCTGCTGCGGGCGACAGTCACTCCAACCCTATCACCCCCGCTAGGGAGACTGTCGCCCGCACCCAGGGTGCACCACGGGGAGGTCTTCTGGCACCGCACCCCAACTATTACACTGTAACTCAGTACTGATGTAGTAGCCAGATACTCACAGGCTGCGAGTGCTGCAGTTCGTGTTTGAGCGCGTGCGCGGGCGGGGGGGGCGCGCGCTCCTCCGCGTGCTCCAGGGCGGCGCGCAGGCCTTCGCCTTCCGTCTGGAACACCAACAACATGGCATTAAGTGCTACACCAAGATGTAAGATATGAAATCTTCTTTGCATTAAGCCTTTGAGTACCGTCATTATAGACACAATTAAAGAACAATAGGTTGCGGTCACCGGTGTCCTCGGACACATCAAGGACAAGGAATCCTTTCTGTATACTAAAATAAGTAAGTTTTTAAATAAGGATACACAATAAGGATTCAGGACATCATTGTCAGGTATATGTATAATGAAACTTCAAAAACTTTTTAACAACTTTTCTTCAAAAGTAGCAAGCATGGCACAATGGCAGTCATTTCAAAAAAACAATTAAATCTGCTACTGTAGTCTACAGTACTGTAGTACAATTTGTAATCATATTTACCTCGCTGGTGGACCGTCGGCTGGAAGTCTCGCTGATCTCACCGGTCTCGGCAGTCTCGCTCTCTGGTACGTCAGTCACCGTGCTCGTGATGATCTCCTACGACAAAAACTCAATTACTATTTGCCTAGTAAGAATAGGGATGATGACTGGGTATGAAAATTAAAAATCTAAAATATAATTAGTCCGTAAGTTACGTAATGAAAAAATATTAGACACGTATTTTTTTATTTTGTCGTTTAATAAAACAATACTTAGATAAAACGAATCAAAGTTTAGGAGTGGGGGCCAAAAAGGTCATTTCTACGTATAAAATGTACATAGAAGTGACGTCACGTGACATTTCAAATCAATATATCGTCCAAAGTGTTTGTTTCTGTAAGAAAATAAAAAATACGTGTCTAATAATTTAAAATAATCTACCAGACGGACATTAAAATAAAAATTAGGCATCTACCATATTACGGTACGAAAATTTTATAACCAGGAAGAATGATGACAAATTATTGCTGTGTTTGGACATAGGTACCAAGTTACCAAATATGAATCAATATTAAAATGATACAGTTAAATCATAAAAGACTATTAAACTTACAGTAGTAGTAGTATCCTGTGAGAAGGAAGCATGAGTGGTGATATCGTGTGGTGTCACCGACGCTGCGGATGGGACTGGTGATGCGCTGGCAGACGCTGATGGGGATGGGGATGGAGGCGCCGAAGCAGAGGGAACTGGGCCTCGAGTGCTGCTGGATGAAGTGTCCTCGATCTCACTCGCTTCACTCGCTTCGTCATCAGCTTCTAAACTCTCCTTCACACCGTTTGAGGTCTGGAAGACGATTTTGAAGTTATTTGTGAAATTCTGAATGTAAATTGGAGCGTTAACCCAAAAAATGTTAGTGGATATATTAAAAAACAATTCAATAATAATTAATTTTTGTACATTTAGTGGTATCAATAATTTTAATTTCTTTGACATTACTGTATTCAGTCTAACAACATTACTATTAATTGAACTCAATGGACCTAGTTTTATCATATAATATTTTTTTTATAACATATCTTTGCATGCCAAGTGGAGGCAAAATATGGAGAAACTGAAATTTTGTTAACATCTATATTATTACTAGCGGAACCGACAGACGTTGTCCTGCATATCCATTTAAATGTATAAACAAAAATTCATACAAATTAGTTCAACCGTTTAGGATAATTAACCTAGACACATTATTCTGCCGGGCTGATTTGTGAACCTAAACCAACCAGGGCGCCACTCAAACGCGTACAGAAAATTTCATTCAAATCGGTCAAGCCGTTTAGGAAGAGTTCAATGACATACACACGCACAGCAGAATTATATATATAAAGATGTACCCATGTTTGCAAATGGTTAAATGAATTTAAATTTGAATACGTTTTTGTTTATATTATTTCACATAGGTATATAGATAATTCTACGCCTTTAAATTTTGAGCTCCTTACCTTAGCCCGTTCGTTCTGGATATCCTGACGCTGTCGAGTGCGCTGATCACGTTTAGCATTGAGCTGATCACGAGCGGCCTGTTCCCGCTGTACTTCGGCTTCAATACGGTCCAGCAACAGTTCCTCAGCTTCAGGAGTCATTGACATCAGGGACACCGCCATGTCGTCCTTGGATTGCATCGACTAGAATGTTAGAATTTGTCTCATGTCACTGAGAGTGGCGATCAGACTGATGGGTTTGTATACTTGGGAATTTAATAAATGACTTTTGAAATTGTTTCATTTTTTTTTCTATATCTGTGTAAATAAGTGTATTTATTTGTTCTTTTCTTTTTTAATTTTGTATTTTTTTGTATCTGTGTGCGTGCCTACTGTCGAATTAATGATTTTTCTTTCTTTATTTCTTTCTTTCAAATTCTTCTCGACTAAAGAAGAATAATGATGATAGCATTTTTTTTTTTTTTTACGGGGGGAAAATCATCGAATGACTGCTCCCGCCTATATAGCATAGCATAATAATAAGCTTACAATACAACTTTCAAACTTGATGAATTAAAACTCTGTCGTGAAATTATCTAGTTCTTCTAAAAATATATTGTTGCTTACCTGAACGTAATCTTCAATAGCAGTTCCAATGCTAGCGTACAGGTGAGGGCGGCGGCGGAGGGAGGAGAGGGCGCGCTGTAGAGCTCGGTCGGCATCCTGAGTTACAGAGAATTGTTGCTTATGTTATCAGTGTCGAGCTAATACACAGTTTCTATCACAGTACAGGGTTTTTTTTTAATTTTATGGTACTATTTAAAGTTCTGCTTACCTGCAATCGGTCGGCAGCACTGGATCGCTCGGCGGCGGCGGCCTCTCGTCCATTGGCAGCAGCGCGGCGCCACGCGGCCAGCGCCCCACTGCGCTCCGCAGCCAGAGCACGGACCAGGCGTTGCAAGCACTTCTGGACGCGGTGAGCCTAGACACGAGGTTTAAAATGAAATAAAGGTAAACAAAAACAAAAAAAGAGAGCGCACGCCACTGGATTGATGAAGATAAGATTACTTAAAGATTAACTTTCCGCGCTTTTGTCATTGCGAAGTCCTTGATTACATTTTCATACGACAGAAGCCGTGCTATGTCGCGTTCAATCGACAAAATCGCTAGGCCAGACAATCTTTCTGTGCCCATCATCGATCGCAGTTACGTCTTTATTAATTTGAGCTTACTAAATGGTCTCTCGCAGGAAGCTACAGTCACTGGCATGGTTAAAAATATCTTTATAGCGACTACTACATTGGGAAACATTTTCTTTAAATCCAGTTCAACTAATAGCTTTGAGAAGACCCACACTTGACTGATATTCACATTTATCAAATAATGTAGTCTGCATTCAACTTTCTATGAGGAAAATACCCAGAAGACTAGCAGTATTACCACGTTGTATGGCAATGCTTAACCTCTGACCGAGAAAAATACACATTTCTTTATTTATTTTTCTGGACTGATCCTAATTCTAAGACCTTCTAAGGAATAGATGACAATAATAAATTAAGTTAACTAAAAATCGCGGGTTAGTCATGGCAATATACTGAGAAAAGCTCTCCTAGTTTCGAACTACAGAGGGGTTCTTCGTTATGAACAGCGTGCGATAGTTATTATAAAAAATATAAAAATTAAAAAAAGCTGCAAAAATTTCGCATTGACAACCCTGTTATTACTAACCGAACGAAATCAATAACCGACCTCAATACTAAAACTCTTCAGATATATTATAGTATCCGTTCTAGACGGTAGCTCTGCGGTATTTCTGTCAAAAACTTGATTGATCTGGCTCACGAGCGATTTATTTTAAATCAATCTAAACTTTTGATTTTCAGCCGTTGTTAGCTAACTTGGAGGAGATAAAAATTAACATGGTTGTGAACACTTACATTGGGTGGAGTGTCTCGGAGTGAGCGGGTGTAGCAAGCGAGAGCAGTTCGGCGACGCTGAGCGAGGTGAGCCAGGACTCGTTGCTGATGGAGAGCAGCCAATCGGCGACGTTCAGCTACACCTTCTTCTTCCAGAGTCTGAGGAAACAAGTTAGATTGGTTTAGACAATGAAGTAGAAAAAAAAGATTAAGAGGACTTTACAAACCAAGAAAGGCATAAAGTAGAAATTGAACCAAGAATCTTTCACTGGATCATTACACTAAAAATATACGCAATCTGGAAGAATATTCGTTATTCTTACCTGAATGTTAGACTGGAACTTGGCAGTCATACGTTGGCGGAAGGTCTGGGCGGCAGCGGGGTCATTGTTCATCATTTGCTGGTACCGGTCTTCTAGCTCCGACCATTCCTTCATGACCTTGGTGATCTGATAAACAAAAATTAAATTTAATTAATTTTCAACGAACAATTTTTATATATTTTAGTCGGTATTTTCAAAACTATTAATAGTAAGAAGACGAGACGAAGAGATTACTATAGAATTATTTTTGAGAAAATATCATTTTTAAATTCTAGATAAAAATAAATTCATACCTTCTCGCGGTGCGTCTCTTCCAGCCTCTGCTGAGCGTCCTTGTAGCTCTGATGTTCGGTACGAGGGTCGAAGTGCGAGAAGTAAGGGTCAGAGGTAGCGGATGAAGCCTGTAAACGATATAACAATCAGTCTTAACATTAAGATTTACATCTTAACATCCCAATTAAAATCTATCGACAATATTTTGTTATTTCGGAAATCAAAATGCACGAGTATCCACCATTTTAACGACTTTTTAAACTTTATTTGTAATTTCGTCTTCTACATGTTCTATTATTTTTGTTTTTCTCTGGTATTTCCCTTATTCATTTCGGTTCTGCACTAAGTCTTGACTGGATTGCTGAATAGTCTTTTGTTACTATGCTTTTATTACTATTATACTTTACATCTTTTTAATTATTATCTATCACAACTTGGTTTTGGTATAATACAACTTACCGTAGTGGTCGTGGTCGTGGTGGTGGTAGTCGTGGTGGTAGACGGCTGGGAGGAGGTTTCGGGACGAGGCCAGGAGTTATCGTCACCGTCAGTATAATCGTCGTCCTCAGCATCATCATCGCGAGACAAATCTGCGTCTTCATCTTCATCCATGTCTATAATATTTTAATGGAGATTGTTTATTTGGAATTCTGCTTTTTGAAATGTATACAAACATATCTATAAATCAAGATTTATTAGACAATCCACAACTTGCATACAGCATTAAAGCAGTTTTTGAGTTAAATTTCAGACGCCCGTTTGAGAAGTTCATTAATATATTCGGGCTTAATATTCAAATAACTCAGTAGATTAACTTCCTAAGTAAACTTACCGTCATCAGCATCGTCATCATCGTCGTCGTCGCTAAGGTTCAGAGTGTCGTCGTCGTCATCGTCATCCAAAGCGTCATCATCATCCAAAAGGTCATCATCACGCTCATCCATTGCTGCTGAAGCCGCAAGCATCTCCTCACCACCGGGGCTGACGGGGACTCCGACATCCATGGGCTTGTGCATCTTTACGTTTTCTAAATAATAATTCATGTATGAGCATTTTTGTCTTTGCCTTATAAAAATAACTTTATCTATACCTGAATATGTAGATATTCAATCAACTTACCCTTAAAATGTTTTGGGCAGCAGACGAACTCGACACCAGAGAATAGGCTGATTCCACAAGGCAGGAGCATCGCAAAAGTCCTAAGCTTCAGTCCTCGTTGGGAGCAAGCGCGACCAGCCGTGGCGTTCCACCTCGCGAACTGCCAGCACCGCGACTGGTTGTGGATGTGGTCGAAGAGACAGCTTTCAGGCACCAGCAGCGCGTCCGATTGGAATGGACCTTCTGCCGCCAAATACTCTTTGTAGTTATGCATTGTAAGTGTTCGTGAATGGATTCAGGAAGGGAAGGAAGGGCAAGTGAATTCGGCAGGTGAATAAATATTCATATTGATAAGAATCAAGTTTATTAATATTTTCTACTTTCTATTATTTATTACTCTATTTGATTTATGTACTTACTGAAGACCCAATATCTTTAACCACATAACTCTATTCATTCAATTAGGAAGTTCGGGACGCATTCATAAGACGATAACCCTATCAAATTACAAAGTAATCATGTATCAGTAATGGATACATACCAAGACAACGGAACGGCTTCACCCATCGCGTGACCTTGCACTTGGCCGCGTTGCCAGTCCCCAGCTTGCACCAGTTGCTGACCTTCACGTAATGGGAGGCTTCAACGATGTTGGTGATGTCGTGGCTCGGGTATACCTGAAATAATATGACGAATTTTCTTTAAACTAAGAACTTGTATTATGTATTCTTGACGGATGTTCAATGAGAGTTGAGAGATTCATTCAGAAACATAATGAAACATTGCTTGTAACCAATTTCACACACATTAATCAATTTAATAAGGATTTGAATTTGTCTGGTCAGAGGTGAGTGAGGCAACACATTCCGTCCTAATTCAGGAATTCCATAAAACAGTGGAATTTGGCAATTTAAAAGGGTTTAATGTGAATGTACGACTGTTTTAAATAGTTTTATTTGATTTAAAGCTCGCAGCATTCGGTAGGTTCTTGAGATGATTTACCTCGTAAATCATAGAAATGAAATAGATTTTTTATCTAGCAGACTTAAAAGCAGTCGTCTATCTCTTGTTCGTGTTCATCGTCTTTTCTTTACATATGTAAAAAACCCATTAATTATATTTTTATTTCAGTTTTGAACAAAATGAATGAATGATGAAACAGTTATATATTTTATTTAGTATAGTAATCAGACAAGGATATTATCGTAGTAAAAAAATGTTGATACTTATACATATTTATACAAAACGATACTAACGTGTCGGATTTTTTTATTCCAAAAAGATAACAACGTCATGTTACATAAATACTTAGATAATGTAAGTTATATAATACGTAAACCCGTGGGTGTTAAAATAGTTAAGTAAGCAATTAGTTTTAGCGAATTATTTGTTGCTAAGTACCTGTAGTGCTAGTTAAGCGGTAAGTTAACGAGATTAGTATCAGTCGATAATACGTGGTCACGGGGAACTACACGAGGTTACGTCTCTATGTCAACTTGGTAATGTTTCGTTATTATTTCCATTTAGATTATTTTAATGGTAATTTTACAGGTCAGTAATAAAGAACACTAATAAGTACACTAAGACTAAGACACTGAAATAAAAAGTTATTTAAAGTAGGTATCACGGATTTCTATCTTCTAAAACTAACTCAAGATCAGATCTAAGTCATTCTGAAAGGTAAAACAAAACCAAATTATAGTTTAGCGTATAGTGCAGAGCATGAAAAGTTTGTGTAAACATATTCTGACAATGGCACCAACAACCAATGACAGCTGGACTGCGGCCTGTGAGTCTCTTCTACGAAGACATTCAAGAAAAGTATTCATTGACATTGCGTTTCATTTTTCAGTTTGTAATGAGAAAAGCAAAAAATATGAACTATCACTCCTTTCTTACCTTCTTGCAATAATCGAGGATTTCCATCTTGTCCTTGAGGCAGTTGTGGGGCTTGGTGGTAAGGTCGGGAGTCCATCGGCCGGCGGCTGACATGTACTGCGGGTGGTAGGTGCCGCCCGCTTCGCATAGGACGGCTACCTGGGGCTCTGCCCCACTGCTTGCCTGGAACAATTAAAAGGATACTGTTAGAAAAGATGTTGATATTTCAAGATGGATGAGTGAACCGAAGTTTCTATAAACAGTTAAAATTTTATACGTTCAAGGAAGAAGGCAATAAAGTCACCAAACTGAGGTTCGTAATAAGAATGTAGCCAATATGGTTCCCACTCGAGTTGACATGATACTCAAAATATATTTGTGATGTCAAAGTTATTTTATTCATTAATTTATTATTTGACAAGACTTAATGTTAAAACAATTTACCATTAAGAAAGCTTATACCCACCTAAGGAAAACATCTACCGTGTTAAAATTACAATAACATATCCTCGTAATACATTTTTCACAATACATACCAAAAAAATAAAAGCTATGTAGGATTGTAGGTACACACTCACCCCAATCAATTAATTGTCTAAGACCAAAGTTGTCCTAAGTCCCAGACATTCTGATGTCTAGATACCTGTCAGACCAGTCTAGACTGGAGGGAGTCGGGCCTAGACTAGTTATTATTAAAAAAGGGTCGTTGTGCGCCCAAATGATAACATTTTATAAACTTAATAGTTCTAGAATATTCTCATTTCGAAGATATTGCGCGCGTAAAAAATTTTAAAGAAAATTATTGGAGAGATAAAAACCTTTTTAGTTTAAATTAGATCGTTGAGATAAATTGTTGAAATAATTTTATGTAAGTACTTACAACTAATAGGTACTATATAACAGCCACGCTTATTTTCTTCGTAGTTGTTTTTCTTAAGTAGATAGAAAGTGTATATACTCTATACATATTACTATTTACTTGGTAAATAAGTACACATAGATACGAAATCAAACAAACAATTAAAATGAGACTTTTAGCTCTTGAAACCCCTAGACAACTTGAACAGAAATCAAAACATTTATGTAAATTTGAATTTCAAAGAAAATAAACCCTAACTTGTAAGGCATAAAGTATAAAATACAGAAATCCATTTCAAATTATTAAAAAAAACAACGAGATATCGTCTGCACGAAACAGACGAAGCTAAGGGCAACAACCCGTAACCTAATACACGTCAGCCCTACGGTTTTCCATTAGTTAAACTATACATTGCACTTTGAAACCTATTGTTAATCGATCGTTCGCAAACAAAGGGGGCAATGTACTGTGATCACCGAGCTTAGGGTCGTATAAAAACGTTGGTATTTAAAGCTGGATTTGAAAGTCTGAAAGAGATTAAATGGAAAATAATCTTTTGAAAATACTGCATTGAAAATATTAGTTTGTACTAAAATTCTTAACATTAGATTATAATAGTACCTACTTAATGTCTAGACATTGGCCGAGCAATATCAAACTTAACGTTTACAAAATCATAATTATATGTTCACTAACCCAAGTGTTTTGTCCTTTAGCTACTAACAACTAAAAACGACCACAAAGAACAACTAAAAACTGACAACTAAAAACTACTACAAACGACGATTCAATAATCTGCCGTCACCACTCCACACTGGCGGTATAGTCGACAACGACTAGATAGTTTTGGAGACTCGTTTACCAAAGAAGCGAAAAAAAAATCAACTCCTAACAATGCTGCTTAGTGAAAAAATATCTCAAATAATCCCGATTAACAATAAATTAAGTAAAACGATCTTATTTCATTCAACCAAAGCCCGTAACGTACCCTTTATCCAGAACTTCGATTTACATAAACAATATTACAAAAAGGATTAATCTAGACCTCACTTAATGTGGTTTTTCACGAGAACCATAATAATAAAAGAAATATTCGTCTGTTTTAACGACAAAGTGATCGTTAAATCTCATCGTAAAGTGTGTATTTACGTTTTTACAGTTTCCATGCAAAACACGTATCGATTTTTTCATAAAAACTGTCGGAAGAATCGTTTTAATCAGAGCCTAGAGAGATATCGCGTTTATTGTTCTTTTTATCGATGAAGATGAATTGGGTTTGAAAAAACATTTTCCAATTTCAATCCTTTTAGAAAATTCTAGACGTTATTTTAATTATAACCATCTGAGACGAGTTTTCTTATAGTTACGTACTATTGACATATTATTATAATAGATACTTTTATTTCTTATCTATTTTCAATTTAGTGTCTGACCTATATCGATTCTAACATACAATCGATACCGCCTGCCTAATCACTGCATTTTTGACGCGCTTGCCAAAAATGTAAAGTCATGGGTAACATAGTTGTTTTTAGCCTGTATGTAATATGATTCTTATAAACCATATCAGGTATATACCTAATGTTTGTAATATTACATTATTTACGGTGAACAAAGGAATAAAAAAATATTGTCAATAAGTAAATAAACCTAAGAATGGCATAACTTGAAGAGTTTCTTCATAACAATAACACTTAAAACATTTTAACGTGATTAAAAAATACGAAGCAAGATTATAACAAAATTAAATATAGTTTTAAAAACATCACCATCAAAAGACGGACTTCTTTTTGAAACATTTTTACTTCATTTAGAAACTACTGGAATCCCACTTCACTTGTTGCAGTTCATTACAGAGTTTTCACTTCAGCCACTCCATTTAGTTAATTAATTAAAACTCTTTTACATTTTAGTTTTTATCTCTGTTTGTGACGTCATTATTCTGTGTATTTTAACTAATAATTTCATGATATTTCACAAGCAACGACAAGCTTAAAATATGTCCGCCATGTTGTTTTGTTTTTTTTAATCTTTCACCTAAATTAAATTCTAAGTTAAAAGCCAGTGTTGTGTTCTAATTTTGAATTTTAATAATCAAATAGTTTTAAGACATTATTTTAAATTATAAGACCTAAAAAAATTTAATTAAAAAGTTTTATGCAAATTCCATTTTTAAAAACAAATAATAAAATGGTTGATATTTTTTTTAATAAGTAGGTACATTTCTCAGGTCTGATTTTTATTGGAAGGAAAAATAAACATCATCATTACGCAGATTTTATATAAATGGAATCAAATGATAATGAAAGAAATAGAAATACAATGCTTGTAATGTTTAAGTTAAAATAAAATAAACTATTTGGGCTTAGAACTCAAAAGATTTTACAACCATATCGTATGTAGAGTAAATAAATAAAAAACAATAAAAAAAATCGATTTTAAGTGTAAGTACACAAACTTGTTCTTAGTACAAATGATAGCTAGTTCTGAATAGTTCTTAGGTATTAGTTAGGGCACGTCTTGAAAACTTAGCTCGTTAGTGGACTGAGTGACAAGAGCGATTCAACGTAAAGTTTGGCGAACAAGTACTGCGAATTTGTCATGCTAATATTCTTACAAGTTTCATTATATCCTGGTAATGTTTAATCAGGAATAACATTGCTATAGTTGCCTTTGAGTAGTTCGTTATGTGCCGAGATTTTCCTAAAGTGGCCCTTAACAGGTTTTTAAAATATAGCACTAAAAAATGGCAACAGACATTATAGAAAATATAAACTAAACAATCACCCATAAAATTTTCTGTTCCATGGAAAATACTAGAACAATAGAATTCTCTAAGAAATAAAGCAAGCGAGAAAAATATTATTTTCATTTGAAATAAGAACAATAAAGATAAAATAAATACAGGCTGCTCCATTTAAGTCGGGCTTGTCGACTCACGAGCCCGATACGATGGCTCGAGTCGACAGGAGAGGAACGGGAACGCTAAGTGCAAACTCTAGTATTGTAAAACGGAAAGTTCTTAGGAATTACGAGCCAGGGCTGCTACCGACCCTCCGAATGCCCGATACTGCGACAAAGTCTTAGGAACAATAAAGACTCATTTTAGTAATTGAGAATTGCTCGGTTGAGTTAATTTCTGGCGCGAGGTTTGAGGGATTGAGGACAAATTAGTGTCGTTCTAAAATTGTCACGATGGTTGAAAATAGACTTAGGTTTCATTGTTATTTATGGACGCCTTGACGTTTATTTTCAGGACATTCGATATTGTTTGATATTCTTATCCATTTCATGGCACGTATTAATTCACAGTATTAACCTAAAGCTAAAAATATGTATCAGCACATAAGCATAACGGGACTTTAATTTCAGGTTTGACATTAAACACCATATTTAGTGCGTCATCGTATGAAAAGTTAAAATTAAACGGAGCCCTGGCAACCCTAGTAAAGTTATAAACAACAGCGTGTTCCTAACTCAAGACCTAAGGCCTTCACACCCTGTAGGTAATAAAAGCCAGTGAAATATAGGGGATACGTACCCCGTCATACGTTCGAGATTGTTAGAGAATTAAGTGCTGATGTGATTTATTATTTTAGTACATAAAGTTTTATTATATGTATAGATAATATTTTTATGAGAATGAGGTACCCTAGCAAGACTTGATGTCGAATGGACTTAGCAAATTTAATATTATTGTTGTTGTTGCTTATTAAAATTTGGCGGTCGTATTATGGTAATCCTAGATATTGTTAGATTGAAGTATTGGACTGACTATAACGACTGATAAATTTTCCAGATTGAAGCATCGAGATAGCCCTATCGGCTACAACTACGTATATTCAGCTCTTGGGACACGCACAGAAAAAGTAGAGAGTGTACCGGTGTGGTATTATATTCTGTTATGTACTGGTGTACATACATTGTGTCCAAATCAATGTGAATAACTATCACACATTATCCTACTAATATTATAAATGCGAAAGATTGTGAGGATGTATGTGTGGGTGTGTTTATTACTCAATAACGTCATAACGACTAATGGGATCTCGATGAAATTTGAAACAGTAAGTGAGTAAGCCCCCACTCTTGAATCCATTTCCGATCGATCAACATTGGTATTGTGAAGTTGAGTTACAACACTAGCACATAATGCATCCGTATTGCGTGGATATTAAATGAACTAAACGGTATTAAGTTTGGCTTTATATTCCGTACTCTGAATGCTAATTCAACAGCTACGATTGGGGTTTTATAGTTTTGAGATTTAATAATTATTGAGATTTTATTCGATTAAAATTGCATTGACATTGAGATTGGTTTCAAG